ACTTAGCCAGATTCACAACACATTCCATGTGTCACAACTTAGGAAGTGTGTCAAAGACGAGGCTGCGATTGTCTCGTTGGGTGATATCCAGGTGGATGAGAGCTTGAACTACATCGAGAAGCCCGTTGCCATTTTGGATAGGAAGATGAAGGTTCTTCGGAATAAGGAAGTAAGACTGGTGAAAGTGTAATGGCAACATCGGAAGGGCTCCGAATGGACTTGGGAACCGGAAGAGGAGATGCGAGATCATTACCCCAATCTGTTTGAGTCAGCAGACTTCGAGGACGAAGTCTAGTTCAAGTGGGGGAGACTTGTAACACCTGGTTTGGATTGGAAAGGACTTATGCATGGACTCGGCGAGTTGGGAGGTCAACTCGTCGAGGAGGGTCGTGAGATCATGAAACGCGGAACGGGACTGACTGGGCGAGTCGACGGGTTGACTCGGCGAGTCCGAGCTGTTTAGAGAAAACCCTAAATTTGGGGTTTGCCCCCTATATAAACGTCATTATCCGTCCCAGTAGCCTCCCTTATCACCATAGAAGAACGTCTACGGCCGCACACCCTCTTGTGAGTGAAGCAATATCAATTGGGAGCTTATCCTTGGGATTTTGGGGAGGATTCCAAGCTTGAAGAAGAAGTATCAAGGGAAAAAACACTAGATCTAGCATCTAGTTCCTCTTGGGCATTGATTTGAGGTATGAATCTGTTACCTTGAGCATAAATTCTATTTGAGAATTGTGACCAACTTTGAGGAAGTGGAAGCAAGCTTAGATATGGATCTATCACAAGGATATGGTTCCAGATCTGGACGTTCTTAGGCCCCAAATATCATAAAGTTGCATCTTTTATTGAGCTCATCCCCTCATCTTTTATTGAGCTCATTCCCTCGTTTGAAGGTTAGTTTTGGTGTTATGGACATGTGAGGCTATGCATGCACGTAAAGTTTGCAACTTTACGTGATATCTTCACTAGGAGAGTATGGATATGAAGTTTGAAACCTTAAACCCCATTGGAATGAACCGCTTACGTGAGAACTCATCGAGTCCCTCTGGTGACTCGGCGAGTCGAGAGGGTTCACGGCCAAAGGTTTACGGCCAAGGGTTCACAGTCAGGGGTGTACGGTTGGTGGTTTACGGTCGTGAACACCAAGGAACTCGACGAGTCCCTCGGGTGACTCGGCGAATTGGTGAGTGAAGCGGGGAACCCGATGAGTGACTGATTGTACTCGTCGAGTCAAGGTCAATATGGACTGTTGACCTTGACTATAGACCTTGACTTTGACCAGGGTTGACCCTGGGAGTATTTATGGGATTATGCTGAGTTACTTACTCATTGATTATAGGCAGTTTGAGAGGAGCAGTGTGGAATATATCTGACTACAGTTTACCGGTTCAACCTGTGAAAGGTGAGTCTTCTCACCATATCAACGGGTCTAAGGCACCAAGGCTGACCCATTTTATGAGATATGGTTATTGATTGAATGTGCGATATGATGGTATGTTATTTGCATGGAAGACCACGTGGGGGTTCCCGTGGCTTTTGGTGTAAGACCTTGGAAGGTTTCCATGGCATCCTAAAATACTTGCTTGTATAGTTTGCATTATGTTTTGTATGGTAGGAAGACCTTGTGGGGGTTACCAAGGCAGAAATACCTTGTGGGGGCTCCCAAGGCAGGAAGACCATGTGGGGGTTCCCATGGCAGATAAAGACCACGTGGGGGTTCCCGTTACATTTGGTATAAGACCCGGGAGGGTTTCCAGGGCTTCCTTGTTTGTCGAATGTATGACTTTTTTGATTTACGTAGTGTATGGCTAATTCGATATGTGTTATGTGGTTTGTGTGTGGGATATGCTCTGGGGGACTCACTAAGCATTAGCTTACAGTTTGTGGATTGTTTCAGGTACATCTGAGCCCAAGGACAAGGGCAATGTGTGATGGCGCGGCGTGCAGTCTATCTCTATTTTACTAATATGTTTTGGGGACACTCTGATGAATTAACTAAGCTATAATGAGTACTGATTTGAAAACAATTATGTTGGGATTTCATGGTTTATGCAAATGTGTTTTATTAATTAAAAACGAAAAATTTCTTTGTAAATTTTGGGTCGTTATATATATATATATATATATATATATATATATATATATATATATATATATATACACTATTTTTAGTTTTTTAGTAATATCTTATTATCTTTGTATATATATTTTTTCAAACAGTTTGTATTATATTACACTATTTCTTTGTCCGAAAGAGAATATTTGTTATGAACATAGAAAAATTAATTGTTTTTATCTTATTTATGTCTAACAAATTGTATTATCTTACATTAATATTATACTATTTTCTATCTTCATGCCCATATGCACCGTCTCAAAAAATGGTCGCACTGAAACGAATGCATGCCTGTAGCAACACCCATGGTTTTCTGGTCAGCAACTACAGTGCGTTGGGAATCCATTTAATAAACCTACTTTATAACGCTTCTTGGCAGGTACTCTACAGTATTTGACCATCACTCGTCTTGACATTTCATTCACAGTCAAGCGTATTATGTGCTATGTCAAGGGCACATCACATTTCGTAACACCCGTCGCATAGGCCTATATGAAATAACCTTTAATAAAATCTTTTAAAATAATTTCAGAGTTTTAGTTTGCAGAAAAATGATCCCAAAGTTTAATTTAAAATAGTTTACAGAGTTCAAAGGTAGATAATGGTTCTAATTAAAATTTTCCAAACATTTAGTGGTTTAACAGTGACACTTCATGCGAGAGTGTCACAACAGATACCAGAACAAGGTTTAAGAAAGCATTGCAAACCAAATGTCTTCTAAATATCCAAAGCTTAAGAGTCTTATAAGCTTCTTACAATATCTACTAACCTACAAAAGTTTATAAACAAGTGTTAAAGGAAGCCGAATGAGATTCCTAATCCGAGATTCTGGGCTTTGACTCTACAACACCTATACTCCGAACGTCATGTATCAATTCCACTCAACTCGAACATCTTTGAGGTATATTGTTCCTTCAAAATAATTAAAAATTATAGGTTACCTAGTCAAGCTGCTTTCGGAACTCTCTGACGTCTACCCCAACACATGGTGGATATTATTCCTTACGATTCTCCACATTTAAAACAACATCTTGAGACTTTGGTTGTGTTTGACCCAACGCAAACTGCCCCAGTCTCGGATGAATTAGCCTTAGAGGAAAATAAATAAACTACATCTAAAGAACAAAAGAAGAAAATCACCAAAATCCGAAAGGCATCCCCTTTGAAACCTAAGGGCAAAAAGAGAACCAAAGTCGGTGAATCCTATCAAAACGATTCACAGATCGGATCCCAACCTGACTCTGGGTCTCTGCCTACCCCACATACCCACTCTTCTGAAGTACCCTCTGGAGATTCAAAAACACACTCTCCACATACATACACAAGGATTCTGCTCATGATTACCCCCATCCTCCCAACATGGTGGTGCTTGTATTGAACAAAGTCCCTTGGAGCCCTCTAGGACATACTCACGAGTCGATTTGAATCACCCTGTTTCTTCCAAACAAACACAATTACACACTCACGAGTCGATTTGAATCACCCTGTTTCTTCCAAACAAACACAATTAGTGGCCCCTGCCACTGATTCCAATCTTTCCGAGATGGGAGTAGTCCCTCCCACCTCAAAAGACACAACCAGTATGATATCTCCTTCAAGTAAAGGACGATCAGGTAGGAGTAGTCCCTCCTACCTCAAAAGACACAACCGGTCTTAGGCATATTTACTTCGAGTAACACTTCTACTTTCTACGAATTTGCTTCTATTCATGATGTGGTTTTGATGTGGCCAAATAATCTCCCTTTTGTGCCCCGGACACACACTTTTTTGGGTTGAGCTTTAAAGTAGTTTTCCGTAAATGATTTATTTTTCTTCCATGTCTGCCAGGAATTTTTAGTCTTTCTTTCTTTTAATCACCATATCGTCCACATATACCTCTATGTTCCTCACTATTTTTCGGTCAAACACTTTGTCTACCAGCCTTTGGTATGTTCCTCCTGCATTCCAGAAGCCAAAAGGCATCTTCTTATAACAAAATGTCCCCTTCTCGGTATGAAAGGTTGTCTTGTCTTCCTACGCCCCCATCTTTACCTGTTGGTAGCCTTTATACGCATCTAGGAAGGACTTCCACTTGTATCTCCCTAGTGATTCTACTTATATTCGATTTCTAGAAGCGGTAATTGTCCTTTGGGAAAGCTTTGTTAAGGTGGGTGAAGTCGACACACATTCACATGGTGTCATCTCCTTTCTTCACCAGTAGTGGATTAGCGATCCACTTTGGAAACTAGGTAGCTTTCATAACCCCTGTTTCCACTAGTTTCATTACTTCTTTGTTAACTATCTCTTTTCTTTCTTCTGCCATTATTCGTTTTGTTCCCACTTCTAGGAGTATGTGCTTCGTATATTTATGGCCAATACGGCCATATAGTCTTCCTCTTCCCTTGTGAGGAAACCTTCCGCTCTAATTAAGCTGAGGGTTGTCGTTAATGGGATATGTGTCATATGGTCTAGCTCGCTCCTTCCGTCTTCCTCATTTGGGCCTAATTTTGCCCTCCATTCTTGCTTTCTATGCGTTTTTCACTTCTTGTCTTAGGAATCAATTAACTTTGCATATCATTTCCTCCGTGTTTATCCATTCTCTTCCCACCAATTTCCTAACCAACTCTCCTTCTAGGTGGCCATAGGTGAATTTTGATATGATCATGGGGTCATCTTTTATCGACATTTTTCTACTAATTTCATTGAATCACTTAAAGTAAGCTTTATTGGATTCACCTTCTCTTTGCCGACAAGAAAATATCACATGGTCTTCTTGTTGGAACCTTCTTTGCTGGATAAAACTGTTACAAAACTTTTGACACAGTTCTTCGAAATTACCTATACTTTGAGGCGATAAGCTTGCTAGACAATATCGGGTAGATCCGTCTAAAGTTCCTGCAAATTATAGACTCCATAGTTTTGGATCCAACGGTATGATTTTTATGGCCCATTGGAAGTTCGAAACATGATCATCATGATCCCCCGTCCTATCGTATGACAACACTTTTGGGCCTTTTAATCCTTTCGGGATAAGTGTTTCATTTATAACGTTTGTGAAAGGCGAGCGAAACTTTATGTTTTTGAAAGCTTGACTATACTGCCATGCTTCCATGATTTTAGACTTCTTGGTTTTTATTCCAGTTTTCTCTGAATCCTCCGTTTGGCAAGTGTGAATAGAAACTAGATCCCACTCCTTTTCCTTCAAGGTTTTTAGCCTGTCCTTTTCCGCCTTTTGCTTTCTCATAGCTCTGAAGCTTTTGAAAAATTTGAACACCTCTATCTCCAATTCTTCAGCTATTAGCTCTTTTTGACTCGTTACTCCCTTTTCTCCCTGGTCCTCTGGCATCACCCTTTTTTTTCTTACTACCGTCTTGATATGTTGGGTTCCTTCTAAGTTTTGCATTCTCGTTATCGGACTCGCGTCGAAAACTGAACTATCTTTGTTGGCCATTTGCCGTGGAGTCCCAGGGATGACGCCACTTATTGTGCCCTATGTTGTATCTCTCGTAGATTGAAGTTACGAAGGGATCCACAAAGATAATGAGACCAGTAAGCCTAAAAAAATCCGTAAGCCGATGACCGGGAAAAGCTCCTGGGCCAACGCTCTAATGCTAAAGTCAAAGAAGGATTTGAGAAATGTATTGTAACTCCTATGTTTCAGAATGTTTGTAATCGCGGACCTTATGAATAGGTTGAGTATCGTATTTATGGTCAGTATGCGAGGGCGTTTTCCTCTTATACCAAGCAGGTCGGATGTCTTATCGCATTAATGATCTAGTATACCGAGGGTACACCTGTTCTTCCTTCTTAGTCGTTTAATGGTTGTTCTTTGATAGTGAAAGGATTTTTCAAATGTCATTCGCAACACAACCTATATTACTGTTAGGTCCAATATTCTTTGGTACTTAAGGACAACATCTCGTATCTAATCGTTATCTTTGAGTGTAAGAGCATTCTTGCAAGTAAACTAAGTTCGACATACATATAGTCCGGTCATGTATATGGTACAGTCATACATATGGTTCGGTCATGCATATGGTTCGGTCATTTTCCCACGAACATCATTCTAATGAGGATATATGTGTAATCTTGAGCCATATATCCTATTAGTCACAAAGTATGAAATAAATATTCTTATACTAATTAAGTTGATATAAGACATTGTAATTATTTTGAACTATGTAATATAAAAGATATTTATTAGAACTATATAATCTAAATTTTTTATTTAAGTATGTTTAATACAATATTTAAATTAACAAACCAATTATAGTACATTAATAATCCAAAAGTTGTATAAAAATTATAATAGTAGTTTTAATTAACAAAGTGTTTAAATTAATAAATTAAATATCTTGGGTCGACAGTTATACATTAAAATTTAAATAATAAGTTAATTTATTGTATTAAAAAAACCAAATTAATTTAATTCAAAATAAATATCTATTTCGAACAAATGAAAATCATGGCATTTTTAACAACTTAGTCATTGTTAGCCAAAGATTAAGATATTATAAATTTTAGTTTTTAAATTCACAAATGACTCACATGATTTAATACATATTACCTATGAATTCACCATAGTGGGCTATGAATCAGTCAGTTTTGGATCACACGTCCAAAAATATAAACCATAAAATTTGAAAATCATCATTATTTTCACACTTTCAAGTTGAAGAAATTGTCCATACTCTCTCTAATGGATAAAGAATAATCTTCTTTCGATAACATCATAAGTTAAATGACTTCAAATGTTTATAATAATTAAATGACTTCAAATGTGTCAAATCATTTGTATTTAGAGTTTTTTAACAGAAATATTAATATTATAATATTATACAGTATAATATAATAGCTTTTGCCAATGGAAAAGACTAGTTTTTGTTGGGTGCTAAAATGACATTTCATTTTACAATATAGATATTTTAGTTCGCTTAGTTAATTATTTGTATTGGTTTACGAAAAAACAAGTTATAAACAATTAATTATATATTGATTTTTGATAAATTTGTCAATAGGATGTCTATTTAACATCTTTTTTATGGTTGCATTAACTTTTTTAAAGCTAGACGGAGTATTTACGGGTTGAGTGTGAGAGATAGGAACCTTACTCATGAACACCACACTTTGGGTGTGGTTTAGGGTGCAATTTACCTCCCCATGGGAACTCTTCTCGGAACTCTCTCTCCTTTCTTATTTGGTTGGAGCCATCGCTTGCAGCAGCAGCAGCAGAAAGAGGCAGCAGGAATCAAGGTGATTGATCATTTTGAACAAGCGATGTTCAGCCTGTTTGCGCTGATGTGCTTTGGAAAGAAGCTTGATGAGCATCATATCATTGACATTATTAGCAAATTGCGTCGTAGGCTGTTAATAACCCAACCCGGGAGTTTGAGAGTTAACATACTCTGTATTTTTCCAAGGTTGGGGAAGATATTATTGATATATAAATGGAAAGAGTTGTTGCAAACGCAGAAAGATGTAGCACAACTGTTGCTTCCCCTGATTAATTCTGACTCTCGAACTGAACCAGAACGCTTAGTAGGAGAGAATGAAATTGTGACGTACGTTGACACGCTGCTGAATCTACAGCTTCCTGGTCGGAAACTAGAGGCAAACAATGGAAATGGTGGAAAGCTGACCGATAAGGAGATGGTTAGCATGTGTAGCGAGTTCCTTAACACCGGCACGGACACCACCTATATTGCTCTACAATGGATCATGGCCAATCTTGTTAAGTATCCTCACATTCAGAGGAAGCTTTATGATGAAATCATCTCAGTGGTTGGACCCCCACCTCCACCGCCACCACCAGGGGTGGAACTGGAATCATTTATAAGAGAAGACGATCTACAGAATATGTCATATCTGAAAGCGGTAGTTTTGGAAGGGCTGAGGAGACATTCACCAGCGCCTTTCGTGCTGCCCCATAGGGCCAAAGAGGAAGTACAGCTGCAAGGATTTAATTACTATTCCACGTGGTGCCACTGTTAATTTCATGGTGGCTGATATGGGTCTCGATCCAAAGGTTTGGGAAGATCCCATGGAGTTCAAGCCAGAGAGATTTTTGGTTAATAACGGTGTGTTCGATATAACTGGACGCAAAGGGATCAAGATGATGCCATTTGGTGCTGGAAAAAGAATGTGTCCTGCTTATACTTTGGGTCTACTTCACTTGGAATACTCTGTTGCCAATTTGATTTGGTATTTCAATTGGACTCCTCCCGATGGTCATGATGTTGATCTCACAGAGAAGGCCGAGTTCACCATCGTCATGATGAACCCTCTGCAAGCAAAAATCTCTGCAAGGACAGATAAAATAACCACCTGATACGCCAAATATATGTACCATGCATTGTGTCAATAACTTATAAAAATAATGATTCTACGTGAATTGAATTTGCATGTATGTATGAATTATTCTCTATTAATGGAATTATTCTCTATTAACTCTATTCCATATATCAACTGACGTTATGGAGGTGCTTCTACATCTGGTATATTTTCAGGGAGTCAAAATTTTAAGTTCTCCACAATCGCTTTTGGTTCATATCTTGGGTCTCTATTATCAGCTGACCAAAACCAACCAATTTAACACATAAGTTTTATTTTTAATTTATTTTTTGATATAATTCTGTAGGACCACTACAGTAAATAATATTTTAATTAGGAGGCAAACATGTCAACAAATCATCGCTATAGGTAATAGGCGACAACATGTTTTGAAATTATTTTAGCATTTTGCTGTTTTTCCAGATTTAATATCAATACGTTCAAATATCTAGATTTAATGCCTACACATTTAAATTTCCTGAAAAAACATTCAAAGTTTAACACAAAATCATTGACAGTTCAATACAAATCATTCAAACATTTGAAGTCTAATAAAAAATTATATCATTCACACTTTAATACCAAAAGTAATGCATTCACACTTTAATACCAAAAGTAATGCTCTCGTCCTTATTCGCCTCATGTACTTGTTGATACAGAACAAAGTGGAATTGCCTTGGTGTTCTTGGTGTCTGTTTGTAGTTAGGAACCTTGGCTTGACAACGATTGTAACAAATCCTTTTGCTCATGTTGCCATTGTTTATGAAATTGTTGAGATACACTTTATGTCGTTGCTTGTACTCTTGCATCTATCTACGCTTATGCATATGGTGTGAAGAAATGTGCGTATGAACTCATAACACCTTTAAGCTTTTATCCCACTTGACCACTTCTCAGATGTGATCACAACGGTCACCAATTGTTTGCTTGAGGACGTTATATTCATATCCACCAAGAAATCACAACGGTCACCAATTGTACGCTTGAGAACGTTATATCCATATCCACCAAGAAAGGATCGAAGACAGTGATATCCCTTCATGTGTCTATGCATCATAGTTTTTTGTAATAGAACGACAAGCTAATATATGTATGAGATTGAACTCGGGACCTCTTGTTTGTTACTTAGAAACATCTTGTTAGCCAAATAGGCTAGCCCCAACTGGTGTCTATGCATCATAGTTAGTAAATAAGCAACGCTCCTCTCCTACATTAAGCACATACAATAAGCCTACATTTTGGTAGCATAAATGGCGTGAAATATATAAGCAACCTATTTAACCATAGATATCAATATTAATAACTCCCCTATCGAAACATACTTATAATCTAGATAATACACCTTAATTATCACACATATAACCAAATTCCATAAAATATTCCTACACAAAATTACTTAACATTTTTAAACATACTTACACAAATTCCATAGCAATACTTTATACAAAATAACAACATACATACAATAATAGCAACATACTTACTATATAGGCAAAATCTACTTAAACAACAACATACATACATAAATTCTGTAACATTTCGTACCAAATTTTATAACATTTTTAAATATTTACTTACACAAATTCCACAACTTTACTTTATTCATAATCACAACCTACTCATATTATATGCAATCTACTTTAAGTCATAACATACTTACTTAAATTCCATAATTTTTTCCTACACAAATTTTCAAAATATTTCCTAACATATACATACAAAAATTACATAACATTACTTTTTTTAAAAACATAGGAAGCACTGCTTGCAAGCTGATCAATGTAAGAAGATGATCATGGACTGCCATAAAAACCTTCATGCCAAAATGATTTTTTCACATCTTAAAACCACATTTCTTTCTAAAAAACCCATGACTTCTTTTTTTGAAATTTAAATGGAAAATATACCAATAATACCATTGTTTTAAAGTTGAAACTTAAGAAAGAATTGAACATTGATGTATAACGTCCCAAAAATTAAGACTAAAAATTTCGATTTTTAAATTAGTAAAACCATTATCCAAAACAACATCATAAAAACCATAGTAAATCAGAGTGTATCAATAAACATCCCAGTACATTAGAGTAATATAAAATGCGGAACAATGTGGTGTGCACACTGCAATCATCCCGAACTCTTCCCCTTCGAACCAGAAGTACCTAAAACATAAACTGAAAACCGTAAGTACAAAGCTTAGTGAGTTCCCCAAAATACCATATAACATACATATCAAACATATCATGGGCCCCATTGGGCATCGGGTCACGCCCCACATCGGACCCCGCCCGACATCGAGCCCAGCTCGGAACAAATCTGCCAATCATCAGGCGCCACCTGGCATCGGGCCCCGCCCGGTATACATACAAACATATAAATACATGAAAAATCACAAAGATAAATAACATACAATATAATCATCAGGCCCCATCCGGCATCGGACGATCATAAAACATACATGCAGAGTCACACAGACAACTAGCATCCTAATCATAATAAACTATGGGCCGGCATTGGTGCATTCGACCCACTAAACACAGTGAGGAAACTCACATCAAGATGCTGAGTTTCTTAGATAAGGTTGGTCCCGTGATCCGGAAAATCCCAACACTTCTGGAGCTAGCAAACTTGATGAAGATTCTGGATCTATAACTTCAAGTCCAACCAAAGCTTCGTCACCAAGCACCACATTTTTTAATGCACACAAAACAACACAAAATTACTTCCAAAGCTCCAGAACACACTAAAATAGTGACTAAGGGTCGAGATTAGGGTTTAACAGGTATGGAGGCTAATAAGAGGTAAGGCTCAAGCGACATGATAAGCTTATATAGGGGTAAAACTGTAACGCTCGTAGATCCGGGCTAGTCAATTTAGAGACGATAAGCATCAAAAATGACTTTTTGATGGAAGATTAAATAGAAGGATTAATCTTAACCAAGTTGTAGTACATGTCTCGAGGTTTCCAGATATATAAAGAATGCCGAAATCCGAGTTATAACGAAGAAGTTATGACCTATCGAAGTTTCGCGACAAACCGGCACGGTGCCGAATGTCGTAAAAAGTGAGTTTTTGATAAACTACTTTTTAGCCTTAGTGATCTAAATGAAACTCGTAGTGTTCGTTAAACCGAGAGTAGGTATAAAAAGAACGCCCAAATCTGACTTCGTATGAGGAAGTTATGATTTTTCGAAGTTTCAGCTTAGCAGTAGACAGCTAAAAACTCGAATTTTAGATCGAGTGATTTTTATCCGACATGACCTAAACGAGAATCGTAGGTCTCGTCATTAGTAGCACAACGGTAAAAAGTCTGGCAAAAACGGACGTCGGATGAAGAAGTTATGAATTTTTCACGGATTTCATGTCCCGGTCTGTTAAAAATAATAATATAAAAATTAAATTCAAAATTAGCCGACGAAGTCTAAACAAAAGTTGTAGAGTGTAATTTTACCTACGCATGCATATAAAGAACGTCAAAAACGGAGCTCGTATGCAAAAGTTATGGATTTTAGAAGTTTTGGCGCGAAAATCGAGAAAATTCGCATAGTCATGTTTTTGCCACGTCACCTTCGCTGAAACAGTGCCACGTGTCCGAAATTGGTGAGTCATGCGAAGCCACGTGTCTTCGCCTTGCATGTGCCACATGTCCGGAAGGTTGCTGAGTCATCCGACGCGTGCCCTCTTTTCCTTGTGTCCGAGCCCTCGCAGAAGCCACGAGCTTCCCTCATCGGACCCGGACTTCGGTCCACTAAGAAGACGCCAGCGAGGCCCTCGCACGCGCAGCCCATGTGCGAGCCTTCCCTGCGAGCCCTTGGATCTGGGACGCGTGGCTTCTTCTCAGCCGTTGGATCAGGAGCTTCGGCCCCTATAAATAGGAGGGTGCGAGACCTCCCGGGTATACTTTGAAAATTTGTCATTTTTAGCCCTTTTTTCAATATTTCTTTCATTTCAACTTCCCTCGAAGCCCCGGTATCAATTATAACCCCCGGAATACGCCACGGAGTGCCCGAGAAGCCGGAAAATTTATCTTTTCGGTTTTGAAGCCCTACCCTTCGCAGAGCCCGGTTTCTCAATAAAACTCCCGGTTTTATTAGAAACGATCGTTTTTAGGAAACGAATTGCTGCCCGATTTTCATTAATCAAGTGAGTGTATAGTTACTTTCACCTTACACATATATATGAAGTATTTTCTTTAAAATACGTGCTATGTGTAAATATATTAATTGTTTATTTGAGGTGACTGTTGAATTGATATTTTATACAAGTTTTAAACTGTATATATATTTTTATCTACAAATATGTTGGGTAAAACATGGGTAGATGAATTAGATGATGAGTGATGAAATAAAAGTGATGAGAGGTATCGATGTTTAAGATGATCTAGTCATCTAGCAGAGTATAGACAACGACCACAGACTATTTTAGATAGCCCAGTGGATACGTTAGTAGTCTTGTAATCGGTACGTATGTTCGAACTATATGTTCATTAATGAACTTGAGTGTTTCATTCGCTGTGAATTTCGATTCAGTCATTCAGCAGAGTAGGGATGACAACCATGGACTGTTCTAGACAGTCCAGTGGGAAACATTAGCAGGCCCGCAACCTGTAGGTGTTAATGGACTTGGGTGTTCATTCGATGTACTCTATTTCCCGTCATGATTGCCTTTAGTGCATGTATGGCTGGGGAAACCCCTGAGTATGTTCATCAGTTATATAGAAAAACCCATTGACATGTATTGCGGGGGGGAACACCCGTGGGAAATACCGTCGATGAATAAGAGCTATGGACTTAGCATAGAGAAAACCCATTGACATGTATTGCGGGGGGGGGGGGGGGAACTTCTGTGGGAAATACTGTCGATGAATAAGAGCTATGGACTTACTACATGGCGACAATGTGACTTCATGTCATATTTGACATAAATTGCAGAGGGAAGCAATGTTGTCACTTTATAGGTCGTTTTATGTTAGGATGTCTTGTTTGACATAACTTGCTGAGG